ATCCAGGTGAGAGACAATCAAGCAAATCTTGAAAGAAAAGGGCTGGTACAACCTAAATGAAATTTGGCTAAGTAGTAGGACAAAACAATGGCATTCAAGGAGGGGGCAGGTGGCAGGACTTGAAGAAAGCCCAGTGGGATAAAAGCATGTAGATGTGTTCAGCAAAGTGCTATGGTACTTGGAGGTGGGGCATGGAGGGTGGAGACATTGGAGTCAGGAAGGGGCTGAGTAAGGGCAAGTCTGGAAGGGTGCCTTAGGCGTGGAACCCTAAGATTTCAGTAAAGGAGTGACAAGGTCAGATCCTTGTTTTAGGAAAACACTTCTAGGAGCAGCCAGATGACAACAGGGAGGAACTAGGCTTGCTGGAGGCAGAGAACCTGGAAGGTGAAATAATGAGGGTACCACAGGAGTCATTTTAACAAAAGACTTGATTTGATTGTACTTGCTGATGGAAATGAGAGGCAGGAGTGACATAGACAGGTCTCTGGGTCACTGGGTTGGTGGAAATGAAAGAGTACAGGAGGTGGGCAATCTATGTGAAGGCTTTTCATGGTTGTGGTAGTGCTCTTGGGAGGCAACTTAGGTGTTGGTGGGCCTATACTAAAGGAAGGGTAGGCAGCTGAGATTTGTTTCTGAGTCAGAAACAAAGAGGGCTGTTCTGTGGGGAGTTGGGAGTTGAAACTAGAGAAAATAAGGATTTTCCAGGGCAGGTGACAGTAGGCAGAAAGAAGGGCTGTCACTGACATTGGAAGGGAGGAAGAGGAGCAGGTGGGGAAGAGGCAGAAGGAGACAACCATGTCGTGAAACCAGGAGGGTTTTGGGAAGTAGGTGGTGGTGATCGAATGTCACATGTGGACCACTAATTCTAGAGGGGGAGACATCACAACGGTCTTATTGGTTATGAACCGCAGGGGCCCACCTGCCTGGTTTCAGTCCAGTGGGGATGAGGGGCATCATGAGACTAAGAGGGGGAGCCTGGAAGTTCCAAGGTGGGTTGGGGTCCCCAGATGCCAGAAGTACCACACTGGCTGGCCCAAGGCCCTGGCATTTGGTCTTCTATGCACCACACTTGAGTTTTATGGTGCTGCAGCTTGCTTTGATTTTGTATGTTTGAAATGTTACTCTTGTGTGTCTGAAAGCTTAGTAAATAAGCCTTCTGATCATTTTCTTTCTTTTTAAAAAATGTATTTGACACACAGGGTCTCACTATGCAGCTCTGGCTCATAGATATCCTCCTGTTTTCAGTCTCCCCAGTGCTAGGATTACAGGTATATACCACCACGTGTGGCATGTAGTGACGAGGATCGAATCCCGGTTCTTGTGCTTGCCTGAGCAGGCGCTTAGTCTGCTGAGCTATCTCAGCGGCTCTGCCTTCTGATCATTTTCTTTGCTGCAGTCCTTACTGCCCATTTGCACCTCCCCTCCTTTTACCTCCCCTTTTGTCTCTTCTTTCTCTCATGCACATATTCACTTGCTGTTTCCTTATGTTGAAAGTACCCAACACTGTTCATTTATGGCTTGGTTTTGATGTTTTTAATTAGGTTTTTTGAAAAGGAGAAATGTCTTCAAGTGATTTCTGTTTGTCATGAGAACAATAACAGTTTGTGCTAATTTTGTGTTCCCTGAGACTGGAATGCTGTGTCTCAGGAAAGCTTAAAGGAGAGAAATGCTCATTGTTTGGCTAGCTTTTAATACAGTTGCTGGACTTGCACACTCCGAAGTGACGGGCTCACTTGTCTGCTCTGTCTCCATCAGTGCTTACAAGCTTACAAGTCCTGCTCCCACAGAGCAGGCAACATCCTTACAGAATACTTACTCTCCTAAGAAGACCTGAGAGGGTTAGGACCCAAAGTTTTGTTTTCTTCCTCCTACTAGTTCTGCAGCTGAGCCCTGCATCCTCTGTCTGAAGTGCAGGTAACAGTAACTTCTTGAGTACTGTACTTCCTGGGGTGAAGTAAGGATTGGATTAGTTGATGTATGCCAGAGCACTTCATAAATATCAAGTGGCACATGCCACCTGGCACCCTGCAGTGGCAGTGAGTCATATAATTTCTCTTTTCTTTGGGGAGGTTACAAGTTAAAAGGTTTGCCAAGTTATTACGTCTGCATTCTCAAGCAATGTTAAGGAGTAGATGCAGGCAGGCTCTGTCTTTTTTTTTTTTTTTTTTTTTGTGGTAATGTAGACATGCCATAAACTTTTTCATTTTAATCACTCTGAAGTGAATGGTGCAGAGCTGTAAGTACGTTTGTGTTTCTGTGCAGTCCTCCCAGCATCCATCTCCAGAACTTTTTCATCTTCCCAAACAGAAGCTCTGCCCCTGGTGCACAGTAGCTCCTCACTTCCCTTCCCTGCAGCCCCTGGCAACCACCAGTCATCTTTCTGCATCCACAATTGACTGCTCTAGTGAGCTCATCTAACTGTTATCTTACTGTATTTGGCTTTTTACAACACCACTCCATGTTGTACCATAGATTGATGTAGATTCATCCATGTTGTACTGTATGCCAGAATTCCCTTCTTTTGAAGGGTGAGTGATATGCCTTTGTATGCATGGACCACATTTTGTCTGTCTGTTGGCTGTCTATCCATGGACACTTGTGTTGCTTCCAACTTTGGGCTGTTGTGGCTGATGCTGCTATCAACATGGGTGTACACATCTCTGCTCACATTCTTTTGGGGCCCCATTTGGGGGTGGTATTGCAGGCTGACTTCCATTCTAAGAGAATGGGACTGTATCTTTGGCTTTGTGATTTGACCCAGTGCCTGTTTCAGGGAGGTTCCTCATCACCCTGGGTCCTGCCCTGAACCCTTTCCTGGGTACCTCCTTGGCTCCTGTCTGTTATACAAGGGGCTGTTGTTCTGCCCTCACTCAATCCCACAGATAGTCCATCTGTCCCGGAAGACAAAGGCAGAGAGAGACTTGGTGCAGGGACACTGTCTCCCCTTGTTTCAGCTCCCTACAGCAGCCCAGCACTGCCAGCTCTGGGGACTTCTCAGCCCCCTTCCCGGTCTGTCACCCATTAAAGGCTGATTTGTGCTGTGAGCTCATGTCCCCCTGTTCTCTGGGGGGGCCTGATCCACAGAACAAGGAAGCAGTTCCTCCTGGGGTGCCCGATGCAGAATGTGTCCTCTGCTGTGGCCTTGGCCACTCTCTGTTGTTGTCTGCAGATTCCTTAGAGGAAAGCACAGGTGTGTGCAGGGCTGGGCAGGGAGAGCCACCAAGGAAAGGCCTGATAGCAGCTCTTATCCCTAGTCCTGGCAGGTGGTTGCTGCTGGTAAGGGCTTCTCTGCCTTCTGGAAAAGGGGCTTAGCACCACCAACAGACTAAGGAGCAAGGCCTCCGTGGTGCCATCGGCCTTAGGGACTCAACCTGAAAGTAGAGTGGCATGTCTGGCACCAGATCACCCCTCATCCTTCCCCACTGTTTTTTTCCCTCATGCTCTAAGGCAGCCCTTGTTCCCTTCTTGGTAGCACAAGGAGGGGACATTGAGTGTTCAGGGTCACCATCTGTCAGGTGCCTCCATCTTTGACTGTCCCAGTTTGGGGTGGGAGGGGAGGCCTGAGTCAGGTGCTCTGTATTGTTTATTTTGGGCCAAAGCCATTGGCAGTGACCAGTATTACTGGGATGGTCTCATTCTGTGTATTACTCTTTGCTAAATTTGTCGAGGGCTTTGTGTATTTATAGTTAATGATTATTGTTTTGGCTGGTTGCGGAAGGTCGGATATCAGGTTTTCACAAGGTAGATTGTATTTGCTAATCAGGTTTAGATTTGGATGACGATCCTTGCTCTGAAGATTTCTGTTTGGATATTTTGTGGAGTTATTGTCCTCTGTCCCTCAGGTGTGTGTGATTAAGTGCAAACTGTGATGATAGATGGAGTCTCTCAAGAGCTGTGTTCCAGTAGGAACAATATCCTGAAGACCACAGTCAGTTGAACTAACTGGATGTGAATGTCTTTCACTGAAAGGAATATGAATATATATATATATATATATATATATATATATGTATTTGTCTTCCTCTGGCCCTGTTAGATGAGGAAGAAAAAGGAGAGAAAAATATTTTCTCCTTGCTCTGTTATTGCGTTGCTTGTGACCACAGTGTCAGAGTCCCAAGGCAGAGTCTTAGGGAAACAGTGGTGCTTCCAGCGGTGTCTTCGGTCACAGGAGAGTTTGTCTCCTATCATATAGTGGAGGAAGCAGCTTTGGATCTTTGTGGGGAAATCAGAGCTGCTCTTGGCCTAGATGCTTGTAGCCAAGTTACTCTGGTCTGGAAGAAGTGGAGGAGACTGGCCCTGCATCACAGTTTTGGGGGTTCTGCCCTGCCAATAAGGGGCCTCTCTGGTCCCAAATATCCTGGTTTTGTTGTGCTGCTCTACTTCGCAGAATTAAATTAATATTATCATACAGGTAGATCTTCCCCAATATGCAGTCCTTGTTTGTTTGGTTTGAAAAGAAAATAAACTACTTAATAAAAACTTGCCTGCCCTTAGTGATTAATTAACTCATGTCAATACCACGTGTTGCACTAGCTCATGCCATAATTACAACTTTACCTATCATGGAAATTAATTCAGTGTTTGCCAAGAGTTCTGAAAACATTGCTGGATGGAAGGGCCTATGGGGAACCTGGGGATTTCAGCCTGCATGGCCTGGTGGGAACTGACAGCTGCTGATGGACCCAGTCTTCGCTGCGGAAGGATCCTCTGCGGAGCGCCCCTATTTGCACTAAAGGGGCAGCATGCATGGTGTGCCAGGATGTCAAGTAGACCTGTCAGGTGGCCAGTCAGTGTCCACCTCTGTGGTCCATTTGAAACAAACCCATGGTGACACTTGGCAAGTCTGCACTTGCCAAGATGTTTGGGAAGGTGTGCTGGATAGAGACACTGTGATCACACCCTTTGCTGGTGGTGCTCGGACCTTGGTATTGGGATTAGAGGTGCTTTTGTGAAGCCAGAACTCCTGAGCCCAAGTCTTCTTTTCTCCCCTTTGTTCACAGTGGGGCCTTTTCTGAAGTGGTTTTAGCTGAGGAGAAGGCAACTGGAAAGCTCTTTGCGGTGAAGTGCATCCCCAAAAAGGCGCTGAAGGGCAAAGAAAGCAGCATAGAGAATGAGATCGCCGTTCTGAGAAAGTAAGTACCAAGGAGCCAGGCCTCCTCCTGTCCACCTCTGGGCCGTCCTGAGTGAGGACCAGGTGCCTGGGGCCCGCGGCACTGGCTGCAAGGTCAGAGGGGGCTGCCAGCTGCTGGCCCGTGGATGCTGAATGCTCTTTTCATGTGGTATCCAAGCGCTTTCCCTTCCAACCTGATTTCCCTTCCAGCATTCAGACAGTTGTGGAGGCTGTTCTGATTTCCAAAGAGTGCAGCTGTCCAGCACACATGGTTTCGAGCTTAGGCCCCGCCATTCACTGTGGATGATGACTCTGCGACAGTTCCCTAGCGTGAATCTCTCCTCAGAGTGAAGCTCATGCCATCTCCTTACAGTGGGTGCGCAGGACTAAGTGGGGTGCTGCTCACCAGGTGTTTGTGATACGCTTAGCGCGGCACTGCTACACAGTAGCGTGGCTGCCCCCTGCCCCCAGCACCATTATTATGATTGCTACCTGAAGCCTCATTATATGGTACTTGTGTAGCAAGGCCTGGGATGCTGACACTTCTAGAGTTGTTGCTACATTTTGTGGTCAGTTCCCTACTCTGCGGTACAAGCATGGCACTGGGCTCCTAGAAGTTTCTGTGAAGTTTGCTATTGTCTTCCCTGGTATAATTACAACCACAAACCATCTTCATATGGCTGGCCCAACCCCAGGATGATTTTTTAACTTTATGTCTGGCCCTGTTCCATATACTGTCAGGACTAAACATTCTACCATATCTCACAAAATATGGGGGAAATGAACCCTTATATAGTACCTGCTGTTGCATGTTTGGCATGAATCTGAACAGTGTGCTGTGGAAATTTTTGAGTGGCTATTAATAAAGGAAGTTCAAAATATCCTTGAAATTTTTGGGCCTTTGAATCAGCACATAGCAAGAATCCCATCAAAGATAAGCAAAGCTAAATGGGAACAAGCCTTCTAAGGCCTCACGACAAAATGTCACAGCTCCCACATTCTTCTGCATAGGCCATCTCTCACCTCTCTGGGGCCAACAGTGTCCCATGAAAGGATGCTTGGCCATCAGTCAAAACTCAGCACCACTGAGGTGGTCAGGACGGTCTGTCTTGTTCTGACCTTTGTGCAACTCAGAGAAAAAAGTCCACAGCATTTTCCATGTGTGTTCCAGAACAAATGGGGCCTTCTGGCTTTTTGATGTCAGGGTTTTAGCTTATTTGTTTGCATGTTTGGTTTCTAGGTTCTCTGGATTATCTATTAGGGATGAAAGAGTTTCAGATTGTCTTGAGGAGGATTGCAGGAAATGATGGTATGGAAGAGAGTCTGGGAAAACAAATTAAGAACATTAGCAGTAAGCAGGATAACACCGTGTTAATGAAACATTTATTTAAATTGCCCATCTTCCAATATGAAATCAGTCCTTGGGGAAGAAGCGATTTGCTGGTGACAAGCAGTTGCAGATACTTTACAGATATTTTAGATGGAAGTCTGAGTGGGCCTAGTGCTTCCAGGTATTGACTTCGGGTACAGGGCCTCTCTCTCTGTCTGTCACTGCACAGAGGAGGTCCCCTTATTTTTATGTGACTTCCTTATGTGCTTAAAAGTAAAACATGCTGAGGAAATCAAAGTCTGTGCTCAGCATTAGTTTCCATCCATCTGGGCAGGGACATGTAGACTTCATAGGCTGGTTTGGGTTTGTGCCATGGGTGTTCTCTAATTAGTGCCTCCACCGGAGGCTTCATCCCTTGAGAAGCCATTTAAAACAGGGCGGGGCAGGGGTTCAGAGCAGCTCACTTTGATCATTTCTGTCACTCACTGGAGTATGCTGAAGCAGACTTGTTTCAGAGCACAGAACAAGGAAATGATTTCTCAGGGGATTGGAGGTGATTTATCTTCTATACTGATTTATTTTTCAGTCCTCTGAAAATATTTTACAAGTAAGATAAGAGGCAATTCTACACCACAAGTAGCTGAAAGAAAAGCATGTGAATGTAGAGAAAATAGGTTGGAATCCCTCTTAGAATGTTGTCCTTTGAGAAGTTTATCCATTTAACAAGTACTTATCAAATTCTCAGTGTGTGTCAGACAGTGCTGTGAGATGCTGCGTTGAAGATGCAGTGCTTTGCCTCTGTGATATAGCAGCTTAGTGGCCAATTAGCGCAGTGAAGTTCAGGGTAATGTGATAGATGCATGGCCTGAGCCAAGGGTCCAGATGCCCAGCTCTTCTCAGTGAGGTTGAGGGCAGATTTCATGGAGGAGAAATATCCCCATGTAATAACTATGTTTTGCCAGAGAAGGGCAAAGGGACATTTCTGACTAGAAGGAGCCGCCTAAACAGATTAGGAGATAAGTGGCAAACCATGTTCAGGGACTCTGCATGGCTCCCCTCCAAAGGAAAATGAACTCCAGGGAAGGCCTGGGAGACCTAAAGTTAGGGAGAGGTAGGTTATAGAGGGTCTTACATATCCTGCTTTGGGCTTTGAGCTCACCCTGTGGACTCTGGGGAACTATGGAAGGCTGGTAGTGAAAGGAACATTGTGATTAAGATTTTTTTTTTTTGGTATTTTAGTACAGGGTCTACAGAGTCTATAGGATCTACAGGGTCTCACTACATAGAGCAGACTTGTAGTGATCCACTTGTGTTCAGCCTTCCAAGAGCTGGGATTACAGGCACGTGCCACCACACCCAATCTCATTCACTATCTCAGCATGCCCCAGGGGCAGGGCTGGCACGGCACACTGGGCACTGGATCCCAGCCACTGCATCTGCCTAAGCAGGCACTTATGATCAAGATTTTTCATGAGCATTATTGCGGCAGAATTTGGATGGTTTTCTTGGAGAAGACAGAATTCAGCATGTGGAGGGAGAGTAGGGAATCACAAAGAATCAGGCAAAGAAATGAAGTAAATGAAGTAAATCAAAATTGGCTATAGGATTGGGATGGAAAAGACTGGTATAAAGATGTGAACACTGTGGTCTCTATAGGTTTTGAGGTTTGGAAGAGGCACAGAGATGTTGAGGTAGATGCAGGACACTGGGTAACTCCAGGTTTTTGATGGGCATAACTGGCTGGATAGTGACCTTATTAACAGATCATAAATAAAATAACAGGAAGGCAGGTGATGTATTCTGACTTGAACAAGGTGAGTGTAGGTGTCTTGGGATGTCCACATACAGATCTGGGCTTGCTGGGCATTAAAATTTTCTGGAACAGCATATTAAAAATGAATCTTCTGGCACTTTAGTCACCATAGATGGGGGCTCAGATAGACCTGCTTTGTTCTGTGGTATCCTCTGGTCATCTATATATCCCCACAATGATGGTCATCTAAGGATGCCCCTTTGAGGCTCCTTGCCCTCCTATGTGGTGAGTTTATTATAGGGTAAGAGATTTATTTATTTAATTGGATAAAAGTAATGCAGTTAGTATATCTTTGTGGTTGTCTTTGTACTTGCTCTGAAACTAGTGCCAAAATGAATTTTCTACTTGATAAGTAGATATTAAACCAAGCTCAGAGGGAATAAAGAGCAGACCTCATAAGCACTGTGGTAGGCTGTTGCTATGCAGCAGGAGAGCCCGACTTGGTGTTCAGTAGGCTGGATCTACGTGATTCATCATGATTTTTTCCAGACGGAATGTTAGCTGCAGTCCCACGAATGGAGTATTTTATGCAGCATGGAATATATCATCGTCAGTGTCATATACCTTGGGTGCACTACAGTTTATGGTTTCTGTGGTTTTATTTACTTAGAGGGCAGGCACTGCTCAAATCTAATTTCAAGGCAACACACAATATGCTTTTCCAGGAGTAGAAAGGCAAATATATAAACAGTTTGCGGTTAAGTGAGAGACAAAAGAAGGAGATACATAAAGCTGGAAAACAAGAGGCAGGAGAAACAAAAGGATATATCAGAGCAGCCCTAATAGTTGGGGAAACTGAGGCTCCCATTGGTTAAAAAGGTACCGTCTGGATGAAAACGGTGTCAGAATTGAATATGCTGTTCTGATTATTACTTTGTAGGCTGCAGAGGCAGTCTGACCTTGAGAAAGGGGCCTGGGCAGGAACTGTTTTGAAATTGTGGGTTCTGTCATCTGCCTGATACACTGGGGAGTCCTTGCACATGGTCCCTGTTACTTTGTCTAAAGCACTGGTTCCCTTTCTTGGCTGCACATTATGTGAAGCTCTGTGAAGCTCTTAAGGACATACCAGTGCCAGACTGATCCTTAGGCCAGCTGAGTCAGAACTGGCAGTTATGGTGGGGTGTCTGGACAACTGGAAGACCATCTTCCTAAGCCCCACCCAACGATTCTAATGTACAACTGAGTGTGGAGAAACATTGCTCTCAGGCCTTGCCTTGGTCTCATCTTCCAGGGGCAGAGCCTGCTCTTTGTTGATCCACGAGTATGGCTGGCTGAGTATGGACACAAGCAGGAACACACCATGGGCTCCTTTTTTTAGGTGAGAGGTTCCATGAGGAGGAATGCTAAAAGTTCTCCCTCTGACTCTCATATGAGCACAGTGAATTGATTTGAGCTCATCACCCCAGACTCAACGGCAAGCAGGTACCAGACACTATTTTTTTCAAGACTAAAAACTTGCTCTGGAGCATCACCCAAGACATAGTTGCAGAAATAGTGGCCCCCAGCCTGGAAAACCTGGCACTGATGTTGGTCAGGTTACTGTAGTGTGGTGCTGAGTACATTGTCAAATGGGGTCATGTCTGTTAAAGGTGGCAGGATGCTGGGCTGGTGCTCCCTGTGGCCCAAGGTCAAGGTAAAAGTATGGGAAGCATGTTGGCACCTGGAATACAGGTGAGCAGCACTCCAGGGGCCTGGGAAGCATTTAATCCTCTAGTTCCCCAAGGCCAGACAGCACAGACCAACAGGAGGGCACCCAGCATCTGTACCCCAAGAGGGTGCCTGCTTTGGGATTAAGTAGCAGCCTTCAAGAGAAGGTAACCTCACAAACACCTGGCTTGTTCCTGCAGCTTCCTCCCACTAGGGGACTTGTCTTGTTCAC